TGGATACCATCATTTGAGTCACGGAGTAAGGAATCATTAGTATCTGAAGAAATGGATTTCATTTCCTTTTTAATGGTGTTACAAATATCACGAAGTATGAATCGAGAAATTGTGCTACAAGATGTGACTGATGAAGAAAAACTCCTAAAATGCTTCCTTGCCAAACTTTCAATGCTCTTTCGTCTCGAGGGAGTCGTGATATTATAATTCTGTTTACCAGAAGGCAAAGTAATCTTGACCTAAATGCAAAAAAATATGTTGGATTAAACTTTTTGGATAATAGTTAGGCCTATGCACTAGCATAAAAGCACAGCGTAACTTACAGAAACAACATTGGTATCAGCTTTCTCCTGAGGCTGAATGGCAACTCCATTTGTCTCTTCTAAACCACTTGATGAAATTTCCTCATTATTCTTCTGTCTCTTCCTTGATGGAGTGCCAACTGACACACTCGATCCAGGCAAACTCCGCTTACTAGGACCTGGCTGAGCTTTCTCCAGCACAACACCAATAGCTGATGCAAGATCCTTCTCAACACACTGGATTTTCTCAGCAAGAGCTGCTAATCCCTCTGCTTTAGCTCTACATTTGTGACAGAATAAGGCCTTACTGGTAGTTGCCTTTGAGAAAGATAGCCCAAAATAACGCAATGATAGAGAGTCTAATACATCCCTTGACTTCTTAGCAGCATCTCTATCTAGTCTGATCCTCTTTGATTTTATACTACGGCTGTAAACTTCTGTAAAACAAAGACAGCATTTCTCTCCTTCCACTTCAGCCATTTTAAATACACGTGACACACGCCTCTCGTACACGCCTCAATCTAATTAAATTAAAAATTCAACGATTTTCCATTATTCCTTTCTGGCTTCTCAATTACGTGCTATTAATTACTTTACGTGCACGTACTACTTATGGAAGGTCAGTCAACCCATAGATACTTTAATACACATGGATGTGAAACATTACCGGAAGCTCCATACAAAGTATATGGAGAAACGTCACTTCCAGTTGTCTATAGACCTCTTTGGGTGAGAATGAATTACGTCAAAGAATGATATACGGCAAGGGGCGTGACTGAGCCTGCCTGACATGACGTGACTCTGAAATAATTTTCGTGGACGGCAACTTTCTATGGAGTATGAATGGGCTAATGCAGAAAGCAAGCTCTATTAAAGAATGTGCTTCATATTGCACCAAATCCCTTTTAGGAGATGCTTAGCAGCGACCATTCTTTCCTCCAACCAGCTTTTGTAGCTTGAAAAAGCTCCATGCCAACGAAAAGAATTAGTTTTGCCTTTTCTTCATTCATCCTCCATTGAATCTTGCCGTCCAAAATGGCGGCCCATTATCACCGTAGGTGGATACCGTATGAACAGTAATGATATTCATAGGCCACCGTCAATCTCACCTGAAGAGGTCTATATGCGATCCAACAAGGAAAATGGCGAGTGAGGTGAGTTCTCATCTTCTTTATTGAGTATCTAGAGTGTCGTAGGACAGATAGTCGCCTGATTTTGTTCAATAATAGGTTAGTGCATCATATGAATCGAGAATTTTACTTAATTGCCTCAAGTGCGTTGAATTGTTAACCAAAAAATGGCAATTTTTCAACAATTAACCACCTTGGGCAAAATTTCTAGCCAGTGCTCACAGATATTCAAGGAACACAACATTAGGAGGTTAGTTTATGACTATGTACGTGCACCAATCCTAATAATTTGAATGTGCAATAGACAATGAAGGAGAATTTGTGTGTTGCTGGCCATAAATGGGGCCCAAACTGTGGCCACTCTACTACTTAACATAAAGAACTTATTAGAGAAACTTCTTTATCAATTTGTTACACTAGTATAGTAGTGTGCGCAAATCACTTTACTTTTTTAATAGACCACTTCGAACAGCAGAAAAGGGGCTTGAAATGTCACCAATATGAAGGCTTCAACTATAGGTTCCAGCAGAAAAAGTATTATTGAAGGACTGGCTGTTATCTATCGATGATAATTCAATTGTATTTTTATCCCTTACATTTTAATTTTAAATATCCATCATTTACTCAGTACCCCAGACTGTATCACACTTCAAATTATAGTGGGAAAGAAGAGGCTATTATTTCTACTAGCTCATAATCACAGAACTTGTACAATCATTTCCAATTATTTGCTGTATTATTCTGAATCTTAAAAATTGTAACATAAAAATGGTCACAAGTCATAACTTAGTGGCAATACAGTCGAGCCGCAGAGGAGGTAGGACACGGTTGACCTTTGAGCAATAATTGCAAAGTTCAATTGCATTCCATTGGTATCACGTGATGAAAAATGGCAGCTTTCTGATGATTGTATCACAAAACTAGCTACTACTGCAGAACTAGAGAGATCTATGACGACCCTTGACGATTGTTAAAATCACCATTGTATGGAGAATATTTCTTATTTGATTATAGACATGAATATAAGAAGGAGAAAGAGACAGTGCATCTTAACTTTGATTCTCTTCTTTACTTCATCAGATAAATCAATCTTCGCTAGTTTAAGATGTTAAAAATTACTGCACCTATCATAGTTTCTAGTGAATTAATGAAAGTCCCATTGACTCTATCTTGATGCTCTAAATTATTGTTAGAAGTGGTACTAGTGGAAGAATTTGGCCATTTTGCATCACGTGATACCAATGGAATGCAATTGAACTTTGCAATTATTAATCAAAGGTCAACCGTGTCCTGTATTGTATACCATGCATGCATCTAGCTCTGCCATAATTATTACATCACTTCCGGTTGGACCGCATGGAGCATCCGGTTTAGGGCAGTTTCATATCCATGTGTATTAAAGTATCTATGGTCAACCAGTAGTCTCGCGTAGCCAGCCCCTCCCTCAACGGGAGGGTCTGGTCGAATGAGTGTACATCATTCGTTCTCCGTGATTAATTAAATAAGTCCGTATTATGTTTGTTCACCACCGCATACTTTATGCAACACGTGGTTAAATATCTGCTATCTGTTGTTGGCGAGGCTGTTGGAGAGAGCAGGCTACAGTTTTTGTCTGGATGGCTAAACAGCTTCTCTTCTGCTTCTTTTCTCTGCGTTAGTGCCAGAGTTTTTAGCTTGAGTAAGAGCATTTGATGTACCACGAGGATTAAGGTAACGCCTACTACAACCACATCCGGTTCACCCTGTTTTGGGGTGAAGTAGAACGAACGATCTACACTCATTCGACCAGACCCTCCCGTTGAGGGAGGGGCTGGCTACGCGAGACTAAATATTACAGGAAAATGTAGTTCCGCACAGTGGGAAAAAGTGGGCGTGGTCAAAATCGCAGCACGCTCCATTTTATTCTCTTCCTTGCCCACCTGCTTCCACAATCCTGGAAGTGCCTATGCTTGTATACAAATACTTTGACTCCCTGGGGATTATGCTGTCTCTAGTCTCTACACTAGCTGATGAGTGATGATACTGCTCTTTATTTAGAGTTTGTTTTCTTTCTGTTAGTGAGGAAACTGAAAATTTTAATAACTATAACAATTGTGAATACAATGCCAACTACTGGTGTTTATTATGTTTTATTCTCCTCCTGTTTTTCATACACTAGTACTTTAGCATCAGTAGATCCATGCTTGTAACCATGAGCAGTGAGCATACTAATGAGCTTAACATCTATCCTAATGAACTTGTATCCATTATAAGCATGCCCTTCATTACCATCTCCAATCATTTCTTCAATCTTCAGGTCAGTGAACTGACTGGAGGTTGTTGTGCCTATAAGTAGGTAGTCACCTTTTCCTTGCTTCTTTCCAATGTTCCTCATGAAGCTCTTGATTTGCTCCATCTTGACGTCAGAGTTTGGAGGTAACTGATACCAGACAACTTTACCAGTGTAGAAGCCTTTCCTTTGTGAAAGTTGACTTGTTATATTTTCAATCATTTTGTTTGGATGTAGCTGATCCTTCTCTCCGGTACTAATGCATTCATTGATCTTTGAGATGAAAAGGTCATCAGACAAATCTTCTGGATTCCCAACACTCATTCCATCCAATTTTTTGTCGTGTAATTCAGCCAATGCTTCACTAAAAGAACGATCCTCTTCTTTAAAGACAACAACCTCTTTTGTAGTTACTTGTGTAACCAGAGGATCATTAATAATTTCTGTCCTGCCTATCATGCCAGCAAGGTTGCCTTCTCTTTTGAACACTAGTGTCAAATGGTCACAGAATATCATTCTACGTATATCTTTCTCATATGCCTCGTGTTTGTAGCCATGTCCAAGAATCTTTTTAATCAGCTCTGTGTCTCCACCTTGAAACCTGTATCCAAACATGATTTTGTCTCCTGGAACTTCACCTAATATCTCAGCAAGATAATAAAACTCTATGTATTTCCTGTCATTGATGATCCCTATTAGCAGGTAATCTCCCACATTTTGCTTGTCCTTCATCCCTGTCATGAAATCTTGGATCAACCTGCTAGTACCAGAGCTTCCATTAACCTCATCATATGGTCCTCCTCCTGCGGGACTAGGTCCTGGCACCCAGGGACACTGGAGCCACACCACTTTACCAGTGACCACCAGGTCAAGCGGTATCTCTAGCTTGAG